CACAAACATTATTTAACAATAGGCAGAGAGTACTTTGATCCGCGATTAACACTCTGGATTGTATATTTCTTTCCTCGAGGTGCCCTCTCCTATTCGCTCTCTCATCTTTTGAGTACATAATATTTAAACTGTTCATAAACTTGGCAAAATAAATTCTGCAGATAAAAGCAATGCAAATGATCGGCTATTATTTGACAAAGCTGACTTAAAGGATATCATCGTGGGAGAGTCAGAGTTGGTTGCAGTCAAACGCATAGCACGTAAATCGTCTGTTCGGCAGTATAGCAGTCGAAACATCACGATCAATACACGATTGATTAATCTGACTCCTAAATCCTAAGACAAGCGATTGAATGTTCATTTATCTTTTTTTTTTTAATTTTTTAATTTTTTATATATTTACAATCGATACGATTGATCATTGAGATTATCTCATAAACCCCCTCTTGGCTAATCTGACCTTGTTTCGGATTAAGCGCACTGGGGATCTTCCCGATACTCGAAAAAGCTTTAGGTACAACTCCTATCGTATGTCTCATCATCAGAGTACATCGTATGCATCACTTTCATAACCTTGGCTAGAATCAAGAGATTTGACAGACTCGTCATGCAATTAAAAACTATTCAATAAAGTATATGTGAGTTGTGGTAAATATTTACCATACTGCCTCACGGATTGGTAAGTATTCACCACTTTCACCGTCATTAGGGTGAATTATGCTCTTCGAATATACCAACCGAGAACTAGAAATTTACTTAAGTCAGTGCTGAGAAAAACGATCGGATAAGCGATTTACTCTCATCGGTTGGTTGGAGATAAATAATACTCGCGATCATCTCCGGGACTTTTGATCGGTGCGTACAAGTGCAGAGACTGTTTATCACATGCGATCTATTTCCACTACAGGACACCTCGTTGAATTATTCCATCCACTTAAAACATGAAGTTAAATTTAGGAATTTAGTACGTGATATGCAGCAAATAAACTGTTTAAACTAACGATTAAAATATTTAATTGCATGGTGAACAACACGGCCAACGGCTCTTCTTTTTGGGGGGCGGGGAACAATCCAATTTGGACATTTTTCAGCGAAAAATAAAATAAAAGCAGGTATGTTTATCTAAATTTAAACTAATTAAAAAGTTATTTCGAAAATATCATTGAATTGTAAATAAAAAGAAGGAGACTAAAGCAAATGATATTGGGACGCACGGCATTTTGAACTCTCTCTTTCGAGAAGGATGGATCGAAAAAGTCTTCTGCAGACATTTGCGCTGTCGTACCTCCTGTTCTTTCAGGTTGTGATCGGCACAGATGAACCAAGCGAAAGTGTAAGTTACTTAAAGCCATTTAAAAATTATTGACTTTTGTAGAAACGTTTTTGAGTCAGGCACGAATGTAACTTCGTAAATCGAGTCGTGATAAGAACGGGCTGTTCGGATCAACATGTGGCGAGCAATTATTTCAAAACTGTATGAAAGTTTGCTGATTTTAGGGAGTTCACCCGCGAGGATTTCTTTTTTTCAGTTATTATTAACAAGTCAAATATACAAAGTTCATACACCGCAGTTACAAAGTTATTCGTCTCCTGGAGAAGTGATTCGTCGATCACAAGTCATCCAAGGAGTGTCTCTTAGGTTTCTTCAGAGTGTGACATGTAAAGTCGTAATTAGATGTTTTACAATTGCAGGAGATGAGGAAGAAGTGCTGTCCAGTAACAGCAGGCCCAGCAGGTCGAGATGGATTACCGGGACGAGATGGAGCACCAGGACGGGATGGACTACCGGGACGGGATGGTGCACCTGGACCCAAGGGGGACGTGGGACCACCAGGGCCAGAGGGAATCCAAGGAGAGCCTGGGACCCAAAGGAGATGGAAACAGTGTTCTTGGAACCACATCAATTCTGACACTGATAATGGACGAGTTCTGGTATGTATGCCGAGAAGGCAAATATTTGGCGCTCACTCTTAAAGTAGAGAAAGGTGGAGGGGAATATATAGCAGTCACCATTGTCAAGATTGAACAGGAAGACGAGATGTGAGGTATCTGCTGTATCAATGCATCTAACAAATGTTTTGAACCTTTCCTTTCAAGGAATGTCCGTTTACCAAGGCTGCCTCAAACACATCCCTCCGGGTTGTTTACATGGGCAACCTTCACATCTACGATTGCACAAAGTGTTGCATGAGATGGTTTTTGACTTTCAACGACATCGAATGCATGGCTCCCGCTGCTATTGATGCTGTTGTGTACCAGAGTGTCGACCTAAATATTCCTCGCCCCGCCAACATAGAAGGCTACTGCACAGGAATCGCCAAAGGCCTGGTGCGTGTTGGCTTGCACGTCGGTCAGTGCCATGGTTTCGGTATTTCCAACGCCTACACCGGCTGGAATTCAGTAAGCAAGATCATTATTGAGGAGATTGAGCCCCCTGTTGCTTAAATAGGCAGCAGTGCTCTTCCACCTAAGCGTATAGTTCTTGATTTATCATAGGGGCAGTCAAATATTAAATTGTAACCGGGCGGTAGTTAGGCTCACTGAATTAAAGGTGTCTTGACTGTATTGGGTGGAACTCGTGACAAAATATGGAAATAAACCTGCGAAGAAACTAACTTTTGGTCGATGTGTTCTGCTTATCGTTTTTTTTAAACATAGCTGTATAATGGGAAATATTTTCTTTTTGGGAAGATGTAGAAATTATTGCTCATTTTCCCACTTTGCATGACAGTCCGCAGTGTTATAAGTATCTGGCGTCCTCATGTAGGCGTAACTTGATTGAATAAATGTGACGTAATCAATTCGGGAGGAAATGTATCCCTTTCGTTCATAGAAAAACATTTCTCCCAATATAGCCGTGGCCAAATGATTTATCAGACAGAATATTGAACATAAAACGAGCTAAAAGTTTTCTATCTGACTCCGCTATCACATGTCCACTCGAGTTTATTCAATTGAACATATTACAGACGTAGGCTACTGCGCTGGAATCAGTAAGGGCCTGGGGTGTGTTGGCTTGCACGTTGGTTAGTTCCATGCATGGTTATGGCATTTTCAATGCCTACACCGGCTGGAATTCAGTCAGTAAAATCATCATTAAAGAACTTGAGCCGCCAGTTTTTTTGATTACCAGTACTTTTTCCGCCCAAGCGCATACTTCATGATTCATTATGAAGGCAGTTAATGTTCTATTATAACTGGGATAGTTAGGTACACTGAACTAACACGCTTTGTCTCATGAGAACATGTGAAAATGAATCTGCGAAGAAAGTTATTTTGCCTATCTAATTTATATTTATTTTTCTATTTTTTTTTCAAGCGAGATTGACAATAACTGCCCATTTTCCCTCTTAGGATGACAATCCGCGCAGAAACGCGCTGTAGGTACATTGCTGGACGCAATATGTCCCTTACATGATAAATCACTGTATGCCCCAAGCTCGCAACAAGACCAAAAACATTTCTCTATTTTAAAATGTGGTACGCAACATCCGATTTAATGATTGGGAACAATCACCAAAACACTCAAAATTTGTTTTGAATCACCAAAAAAACTAAATATCTTGATCTATCTGACCAAAAAAACATTGAGTAGTTGTCAGCAGAAAAAAAAAGATTTAAGCGGATGTGTTTGTCTAAAGGGATAGTAATAATAAAAAATGTTTGCGAGCATAATAGCATGATAGATGACACTTATTCAAAAGAAATTAGTAAAGCTCTCTTAGGAAGGATGGATCGATCAAAAATCTTTAGTCCCTATCTCCTGTTCACTTTACTCTTTTCATCTTACACAAATCGTCAACACCAGCCCAGGGGAATGGCAACAATCCATCAAAAGGAATGGTCAGATTGATAGAAATACCACAGATAAGAAAAGCTTATCTATAAAACATATTCATTCTGCATTTTGAAAAGATATTTTTGAGCCGCCATTAACAGAGAGTAAGATTTTAGCATACAGTTTTTAAAACCTCAAAGCACACAAAATATACCAATTACCTCTCACAGACACAAAATAAAAATGTTATACTAACGATCAGCATCTTTTACCGAGGCGAAACCAGACACCAAGCCACCTCAGAGCGTCATGAAACTGAGCCAAACAAATTTTTGACGACACCTGATAACTCGTCAACAAAAAGTCGGAAACTGACTTAAAACTAAAGCAAGCTACCACAATTTGTGTTAATATGGGGGTTGTAGGGAATTTACGCTTGCAGAAAGTATATTACATACATCTATGATAAAACTGCGTGCTCTATCGGCAGATAGTTCGCTCTCTTGTTTCTTTTGTCTCGGCGTAGAAAAGTTGAGTCAGAGACAAGGATATATCCGATATTAATGTTAAGCCCTGTTCTTCTTGCTAGAAGTACTGCAAAATAATCTCTTGCTGCAAAGTCCATTGCAGTTGTGTCTTTGCTTCTATTCCTTGTCATTGGCTTAGAAACATCTCGCCACCTTCTCAGCCAATCAAATGGGAAAGTGAGAAAAATTCCGAGATGGACACTCGCTTGAGGCGGTCAAAGTGTAGTTCGTTTCAGATCTCATGGGCTTTTTGTGTACCTCTGTCACCACCCTTTGTTCAATGCCCATAGTTATGGTATGCAGGATCTGACTAGTGTATGATCTAATTGGTGATCGAGTTCTTTGTGGCTCATTGGCAAAGCATCCGAACGCGAGACCAGAGGCACTAAGACTCAAATCTTCGAGGGGGTAATTTCTCTTGACAGCCTCCGAAATGTTACGCGCCACAAGCTCCTGAAACTTTAATTATTCTTTCAACCATAGTTTGTTATTAGCCCTTGCAGTCATTTCACAAACACTCCTGAATTGATCTCGGCCAGAACTGATTTTGTTTAACAATAGGCAGAGAGTTCTTTCATCCGCGATTAACACTCTAGATTGTATATTTCTTTCCTCGAGGTGCCCTCTTCTTTTCGCTCTCTCATCTTTTGAATACATAATATTTAAACTGTTCATAAACTTGACAAAATAAATGCGGCAGATAAAAGCAATGCAAATGATAGGCTATTATTTAACAAAGCTGACTTAAGGGAAGTCATCGTGGGAGAGTCAGTGTTTGTCGCAGTCAAACGCATAGCACGCGATTAGACCCCCCTTGGCTAATTGGACCTTTCCGATTAAGCACACTCGTATGTATCATTTTCATCACCTTGGCTAGATTGGACAGATTTGTCAGAATCATCATGGAATTGAAAATTATTCAATAAAGTAGATGTGAGTTGTGGTGAATATTTACCTTACCGCCTCGTGGCTTAGTAAGTATTCACCACTTTCACCTTTAGTATGGTCAATTTTGCTCTTCGAATATATCACTCGAGAACTAGAAATTTACTCAAGTCAGTGCTGAGAAAAACGATCGAAAAAGCGATTTACTCTCATCGGTTGGTTGGAGATAAATAGTACTCGCGAACATCTCCGAGACTCTTGATCGGTGAGTACAAGTGCTCAAGAGACTGTTTATCACATGCGATCTAGCTCCACTACAGGACACCTCGTTGAATTCTTCCATCCCCTTAAACCGTTAATTTCATTTTGGAATTTAGCCATCCAATTTTCGCATTTTCGGCGAAAAAAATTAAAAATAAGCAGATCTGTTTGTCAAGAGTGAAAGTAATCAGCCGCTTGTAGTGCTCGCGACCATCTCCGAGACCTGTGGGGGCGTGCTGCGTCAGGCATCCTTTCATCGAAAAAAGACATTGTTAAACAATCCCTCTATGAGGCCTTCAACTCAGTTACTAAGTTATTACAATCAGAAAAGATCAGTGCGTGCCATCAATGTGTAGAGGCTGTTTATTACAAAACGAACTACAGAGGAAAATGAGTTGAGTAGCAGGTCTAGAATGGGTCTGTTGCCACAAAAACACGCATCAAAAACTCGTTGCACTCTTTTCAATCGTTTGAGATTAATTAGCATATGACCATAATAATAATTATAATAATAATAATCAATTAAAAACTGACAAATATTTATTTGCGTGGTGATTCGGCATGTGCAAAGACCAGCGATCTATATTGAATCTCGCTTCGCAGATATTATTATATCCACCTTAACCATTAATTTTAACTTTTTAATTCACTTCGTGATGCGCGGCAAACAAACTGTTTAAACTAACGACAAAAATACTTTATTGCCTGGTCAACAAACACCCGTCACGACACCAATTTTTAGTTACAAACAAATTCGGAATCTCGATCTGTCCTACAATCCAATTTTTTTTCCGGCGAAAAAGATAAAAAATAAGCAGATCTGTTTGGTAAGATTGAAAGTAATCAGCTGCCTAGAGCAGTGCTAACGACCATCTCCGAGACAGCCACTTTGCATTCGCGAAAAGAATCGAACCTGTGTGGTGGTAGAAAAAATTCTATTTTATGGGGCGTGCTGCGTCAGACGTTCTTTCATCTAAAAGACGTTGTTAAACAATCCCTCCATGAGGCCTTCCACTCAGTTACTAAGTTATTACAATTAGAAAAGATCAGTATATACATGTGTAGAGGCTGTTTATTTCAAAACGAACTACAAGGAAAATTGAGTTGAGTAGCAGGTCTAGAATGGGTCTGTTGCCACAAAAGCACGCATCAAAAACTCGTTGCACTCTTTTCAATCGTTAAAGATTAATTAGCATATGACGATAATGATAATGATAATAATAATTAAAATGGTAATCAATTAAACAACCGACAAATATTTATTGCATAGTGATGCGGCTTGTGCAAAGACGAGCGATCTATATTGAATCACGCTTCGTGGATATATTTTATCCACCTTAAGTCATTAACTAATAGCAAATATTTAATTGCATGATCTACAACATGGCCAACACCTCTCCTTTTTTGAAAGGGGAGGTGCTTACGAACAAATGCAATGTCGCGATCCGTCCGACAATCCATTTTGGACATGCTTTAGCGAAAAAAAAAGCAGGTATGTTTATCTAAAGTTGAACTAATTAAAAAGTTATTTCGAAAATATCATTTAATTGTTAATGAAAAGAGGTATACTAAAACAAATGATATTGAGACGCAAGTTATTTTGAACTATCTGCTTCGAGAAGGATGGATCGAAAAAATCTTCTGCAGATGTTTGTGCTGTTGTACCTCCTGTTTTTACAGGTTGTGATCGGCATAGATGAACTAGAGGATAGTGTAAGTTACTTAAAGCCATGTAAAGTATTCATTTTCGTAGAAACGTTTTTGAGTCAGGCACAAATTTAACTTCGACAATCGAGTCGTGATAAGAACGGGCTGTTCGGATCAGGATGTGGCAAGCAATTCTGTCAAAACTGTATCAAAATTTCCCCTTTTGTTGGGAGTTCACTTGTGAGGACTTATTTTTTCAGGTGTTATGAACAGGTCAAATATACAAACTTGATACACCGCAATTACAAAGTTACAGAGTTATTCGTCTCCTGGAGAAGTGATCGTCGATCACAAGTCATCTAAGGAGAGACTCTTAACGTAATTTGATGTTTTACAATTGCAGGAGATGAGGCTGAATGGCTGCCCAGTAATAGCAGGCCCAGCAGGTCGAGATGGATTACCGGGACGAGATGGAGCAACCGGACGAGATGGACTACCGGGACGGGATGGTGCACCTGGACCAAAGGGGGAAGTGGGACCACCAGGGCCAGCGGGAATCGAAGGAGAGCCTGGGATCCAAAGGAGATGGAAACAGTGTTTTTGGAACCACATCAATTCTGAGACTGATAATGGAAAAGTTCTGGTATGTATTCCGGGAAGGCAAATAGTTGGTGCTCGCTCTAACAGTAGAGAAAGGTGGAGGGGGATATATAGCTGTCACCATTGTCAAGTTGAACAGGAAGACGAAAAAAAGAGATATTTACTGCATCAATGTATCTAATAAAATGTTTTAAATATTTTCTTTTAAGGAATGCCCGTTCACCAAGGCTGCCTCAAACACATACCTCCGTGTTGTTCACATGGGCAACCTTCGCATCATGGGTTGCACAAACTGTTGCATGAGATGGTTTTTAACCTTCGACGACGTCGAATGCAAGGATCCCGCTGCTATTGATGCTATTGTCTACCAGGGTATCGACCTGAATATCGTCCGCCCCGCCAACATAGAAGGCTACTGCACAGGAATCGCCAAAGGCCTGGTGCGTGTTGGCTTGCACGTCGGTCGGTGCCATGATTTTCACGCCGATTACGACGCCTTAACCGGCTGGATTTCAGCAACCAGGCTCATTATTGAGGAGATTGAGCCCCCTGTTGTTTAAATAGGCAGCAGTGCTCTTTCCATCCAATAGTTCTTGATTTATCATAGGGGCAGTCGAATGTTGAATTGTAACCGCCGGCTAGTTAGGCTCACTGTATTAAGGGTGTCTTAACTGTATTGGGTGGAACTCATCATAAAATGTGGAAATAAACCTGCGAAGAAACTTACTTTTGGTTCATGTGTTCTTTTTATTATTTGATTAAAACATAGCTGTACATTGGGAAAAATTTTCTCTTTGGGAAGATGTAGACATTATTACTAATTTTCCTACATTGCATGACAATCCGCGGTGTTATACGTATGTGGTGTCCTCATGTAGGCGTAAATTGATTGAATAGATGTGACGTAATCGATTCGGGAGGAAATGTATCCCTTCCGTTCATAGAATAACATTTCTCTCAATGAAGCCGTGGCCAAATGATTTATCAGACAGAATATTGAACATAAAACGAGCTGAGAGTATTCTATGTGACTTCGCTATCACATATCCACTCAAGTTTACTCAGTTGCCATAACACATTGCTGATGTTTGCAAGTAAAACCTTCAAAGTGAAAGTCCTCTGATAAATTTCCTCGTTTTCAGAATAAATATATGTTATTTGCCGGCTGGGAGGTCCGTTTTTGATTCTGATTTGATAGAGAGAAAAGAGAGGATTCATAAGTTATTTATCGGCTTGAGGTAGTGACCGACGTGTTTGCTTAAAAATACTGCCCAGCCGGAAAACGAGGTATATTTATGAAAAATGACAACGAAAGTTGGGATGTACTCGGCGACTCACGAAAGCGTTACCGTGGCCCGTGGGCAGAGATAGGAAAATACTGACCGGGTAAAGAACCAATCAGATTGCAAGATTCGTTACCGTGCCCTCTAAAGAAACAATAAAATACTCTCTTTTCTCTCTATCAAATCACTTTGGTTGACAGAAAAATATTGGTTTCAGAATGAATTTGTATAAAAAATAGTATCATTACGTTGGTTGACAAGCGGCCTAAAAACCGTCTGCAATTAATTTTAATCGTTCACAAAATTAAAAGTACCCAGAAAGTTGAAACGTGAGGTATTTGGTTACAGTTAAACTGAACGATGGAACTTTCATTCATTTAATATCTAAATTTTCTCGAGCAATTTGTTCATAGTGAAAGAGCGAGCGAAGTTTTAATTTAAGTTCTACAACAAATATACGCTCCCGGCGAATCTTTCCAATTCCGTCCAATTTGGACATTTGTACCGTAAATTGCACAGCAGAAATTGAAGGAATTTTTTGAGAAAAAGCCGCATTAAATTCCCTTGTGTCTCGTTGGAGTGTGCCGTTCGAATTAAGTTTTTGTGAAGGAAAGACTAGAGTTACACACGCCATTACAGCAAACAAACGAGCAAACTCTCACAACTTCAAAATAAAAAAATTGAATTTACTCACATTTACTTTCCTCGCCGTTTACTTAATGAACAGCGGTAAATCTTTGTACATGAATGAATGGTCGATGAGAGTGAATAATACTTTCCGATCATTGACTGATTTTGAAGAAAACATTGTCGTGACAGTCCTTGCCAAACTAGTTCTGTTGGTTTTCAAATGTTCCTACGCTTTTTTTTCTTGCGCGCTCTCTAATTGACAGGTGTCAGATTGTGACAGATACTTGTAAAAATAATGTTTCAAAGTTTGTTTGGAAGCCTTTTAAATCACCTTTATCGTTACGGAAATAAAAATGTTTCAGTGAGGCATCTCTCTTTAATTTGCATCACCTCTATTTTAACTACCATTTACTCACTCAAAAATTGTACAGTTTATGGAAGATCTTGCCGTATTTACAGCCATAAATCATTCGGGTTCTTTCGGAAAGAATTTCGTCAAGTTTAAAAACAATAAATATGTTATTTACCGGCTAAGGGTCGGTCCGTATGGTGAAAAACTGTGACCTCGGTCTTGAAAATGCTGCCCTCAGCCTACGGCCTCGGGCAGTATTTTCAAGACCTCGGTCACAGTTTTTCACCATACGGACCTCCCAGCCGGCAAATAACATATATATATTACAAAGTGGTTAGAGGTGGATACCTTACGGCTTGGTAAATATAGACCACTTTCACTGAAACTAGAGTGAGGAGTTATTTTTTGAATATACCTCACAAGAACAAAAACATTAGTCTATTTCTGTCGGTGTAAGAAAAATTATAGGAAAACAAACTCTTGATTAGGCATCTCTGAAATAGCCAATCAGCGCGCGCTAAAAGCACCATACCTGCGTGGTACACACAAACAAATTTTATCTAACAGTTCGAGCCGCCCCACGCGTTCTTTTATCCAAAAACATTGTTAAAAATCCCTCTTTGAGGCCTTCTACCCCGTAAATAAGTGTTTACAATTGTCTGTCTACTAATTAAACTAGAAATGAGACTGTTTGTTACAGAACCTACTACAGGGGAAAATGAGTTGAGTAAGAAGTCTACTGCGCAGGAATCGCCAAAGGCTTAGTGCACGTTGGTTTGCACGTCAGTTAGTGCCATAGTTTTGGTATTTTCAATGTCCACACCGGCTGGAATTCAGTCAGTAGAATCATCATTTAGAAGATTGAGCCCCATGTTGCTTTAATAGGCAGTGCTCTTTCCACCCAAGCATATAGTTCTCGATTCATTACAAGCGCAACTTATGTTATATTGTAACCGTGGATTAGTTAGGTGCAAACGCTGACTCGACTGAACAGCATATTAGTTCTCCTGACAATAACTCACTATATTGAGCACTTGTAAAGCAAGGCTGACTTTCAAAAATGGCTTTATGGCAAGATTCATGGGAGAAATGCTGTAAAGACCACCACGCTCAGCAGGTCGAGATGGATTACCGAAAAGAGACTGAGCACTAGGACGGGATGGACTACCGGGACGGGATGGCGCACCAGGGCTCAAGGGGAAGTGGGAGCACCAAGGCCGCCAGAACCTGGGACCTAAAAGAGATGGAAACAGTGTTTTTGTAAGCACATCAGTTTAGACATTGATGTTGGACGAGTTGTGGTATGTATTCCAAGAAGACAAATCGTTGGTGCTCACTCAAACAGCAGAAAAATAGGGAGGGGATAGAGGGTCGCTATTGTCAAAATTTGAAGAGGAAGAGAAGAAATGTTATCGAATCTGCTAGGTAAATGAATTTTATCGTTTTTTAAAATATTTTTCAAAGAAATGTTCGTTCAAACCTTCCCCAAACACATTCCTTTATTCAGTTTTCATGGGCACCATCCGCACAGCGATTATAAACTGTTTCATAGGATGGTTTTTCACCCTCAGTGACATCGTATGCGGCATACCTGCTCTCATTGATACCGTTGTGTACTAGAGTGTCGATCTCTACATCCATCGCTCGGCCAATTTAGAAGGCTAATGCACTAAAATGGGTAAAGACCTGGTGCGTGTTAGCTTGAACGTCGGTTAGTGTTATAGCTATGCCATTTCAACGCTTACACCGGATGGAATTCAGTCAGCAGGATCATTAATGAGAGGCTTGAGCTCCCAGTTGCTTACATCACCTAGGTTTTTTTTTACCCAAGCGCATAGTTCTTGATTTATTATAGGGGAAGTTAATATTGCATTGTAACCAGGGAGTAGTTAGGCCCACTTCCTTAATTGTACAGGGTGAAAGTCATGAGAATATGCAAAAATAAACCTGCAAAAGAAACGAGTTTGAAACGAGATGTCAAAGAGAGTCAAATGACGATCGTTATCACATCTTCCCCCTCGTGTGACTCTTCTTATCGCTCGATCTGCAAATTTTCTTCAATTCGATGAATTCAGGATGTAGGGATGATGGGTAGGTAAAAATTCTTCAGAAAATCTCACTATCGTCCGGCGTTCCCTGATCTTCTGGTAGAAACAAATACGCTTTGGTTTGGAATGGCCACCTTTTAGTTAGAGCGCAGAACTATTAACCAAACGATCCTCGTGTAGGCCGCTGCATGTGATGTCTGACTACGTCGATCTTACCTGTAACTTCTTGTAGCACTTCCCAATCATTCGGGTAACAAAGAGCCCTTAAGGTATTTCCAATCGAATTATTCCGCGTGAACAACGCGTCTCACTTTACATTCGATGTGGACAATTTGATGGCCTTTCCATTCTACTAGGCAACTGATTGTTACTCCACCAAAGATTCGTCCGTTTGGGATAGACTTTATGAATTATTTCAGAACAATTCAAAAAAAGCTTACATTCACTCCAGTCAGGAAAACTAAATGTCCCGTTCGGGCATGTTATACAACCACTGGGTGTCAAGAACGCGTTATCAAAACACGCGAGGTTTCGTTCTATCGACCTTAAAGCGAAAGTATCGTTGTTCCATTTGAACGTGTTAATTGTAAGCATGTCTAAGAGAATAATCTTTTTTTCTTTTTTCGAGAAAGAGTGAGTACAATAAAGATTGATTATTTGAGACTGTTGTATACGCATATAGAAAATGACGCTACGAAAGCCGTAAGAAAAGATTGAAATACTCTTCATAGGAAGTTTAACCTAAGTTCCATGTTTTTTAAATCAAATATTATCCGGCCAGTCATCGAGAGACAAGGGTTGTAATGCATTGAATACAATAAAATAAAGGTATCAATTAAACGTGGTGACGTTGATAGCTTAGTGAGCAATACTGTCTTATACTCTTCGTCAAGATAAGATAGTTTTTACTGTTTTTAAACGTATTGATGAGGATGATTATGTTAGAGGTCTGAGTGCATTTTCTAAGGGAATTAACAGAAATTGAAGGGTCTGAAAGCAAATAAACTTTTAACTCCTGAGATCCGATTGTTAATTCTCACCTTCAGCTTTTACACAATTCCGCAAATAAGTTAGGCGAATTTTGCATTAGATCAGCTTCATGTTAATCAGTTCTGGAAGGTAATGGGTTAATAAGTTAGTGGTGAGCGGCCTCTTCATGTAATACCTACGGATAAAAAAAAAGAAATAAAAAGAAATATCTCGAATACGAACTCTATCAACTAATAACAATTACATTAAGTCTAGCTAATATAAAGGGCCGCCCATTGTCTATTTTCATTTATTCAAGCATTATTTCATGATTCCTACCGGGAAGTAAAATGCTTGTTATTTTATTGATTTATGCATTTTTACTGTTTTAATAGACAGTCTGTTTAATAAAAATTGACAAATTTGAACCCTTAGTTGCAGAAA